GCTTAGAAATGGACCCCCAGCGTCCCGCACCCCACCTGTGGGCTTCCTGCCAGGGAACGTGTTTGCTGGCCGCTGCAGGCACAGCGCACTGGACCGTGGCCTGATCCTGCAAGCCCACTTCCCCGAACGGTCAGGGAGAGCTGCAAGGCTGACTCGTTCTGCCCGTCTGGAGCTCAGCGCCCTGCTGGGCCTGCCCTCCTGCGCGAGGCCGTCCAAAACGGGCTTGGCTCAGGCGCAGGCGCCGCACCCAAGCGGACCTCCCTGCCGGCTGGGCGGGCACGTGCTTTGCAGAAAGTGGGACGGGGCGCTCCGGGGAGCCCTGCGTTTTCGCTTTCACCTTGGTGTAGGAGCAAACCCCAGAGCTAGCCTGGCTCCGCCAAGCCCACCACAGTCCTCCAGCCACGGTTCGTGGCTCCCAACATCTCCGACGGCCTGCGCAGTGCCTTGGGACCAAGAAGATAGCCGGCCACCTCACACAGCCCACGGACACGCGGCCATAAGGTGCCCCAGGGGCTCCTGTCGAGGGTTACTTAATAGGGCGGGGGCGGAGCCTTCAGGTGGCGGGGGAGGGTCCCCAGGGGTGGCCCCAGAGGTTCTGTCCTTCGAGGGAGAAGGGAGTCGGGGAGAGGAGCCGGATGGAGAATCGGGAAACGGCCAAGGGAGGCCCAGCCGGAATGGAGCAGGAACATGGGCCACGCGACGGGAAGGGGCCACGAGCAGGGAGGATGCCAAGGCAAGGCCTGGCAGTGCCACGGATGGTGCAGACCTGGATGGTCGGGACTTCCGATCCCATTGGTCCCAGCCAGGGCCAATGGTCCAGAATGGTGGGTGTTGTAGTCCGAGGCCTCGGGAGGGCACCCGCTTGGGAAGGCCGGCTGGGCAGAGCGAGTGCCACTGAGGCGAGCGCTCTGATGGGGAGGCCGTCCGGCCCCGGCCCGAGCGCGTGTGGGTCAGGCGCATCCAGAGACGGCTGCTGCGACCTGCTGCATCCCAGGCGGGTGGAGGGAAGCGGGTCCTGTTGGGGTTGCCCGGCAGCCCCACGGAATCCGTCCCGGGGCAGATTCCTCCATGCGCTCTGCACTGAGCACTGACCTTCACGACATGGCTTTATGGGGCTAGGCTGTGGGATCAGGGCAGGATTCCACTGGTGTGGCCTTTGCCCTTCTGTCAGGACAGACCCCCACTCCCGGCAACTTGCGCTAAAGCAGCCTCAGGCCGTGGGGCTGGGAAAGACTCCAACCAGCCCCCCTGCCGGAGAGGCTTCTGATTTGCGGCCAGGCAGGAACAAGGAGGTGGGGCGGGAAAAGAGTTGGGGAGGACACCGTGCCCCCCCAATAGTTCATTCATTCATTTGGGCAGCATATATAATTCTCGTCTCCATGTTATTCCCTTAGGAATGAGAGTCCGTGGCTGGCCCTGAATCACCCAGTGATTTGGGACTTGAACCAAGTGCCTGCTTCTTTAAACCATGGTTTGTTGTGCTGACAGAACCAAGAATATGGCTTATTCTTGGCTTGTTTCTGCTGTCGTGCCCGAAACAGGTGGACAGTGAAGAACAGAAAACAAAACTGCTCTGAAGGCCAGCAATATGAGTGGGAGAAAACCAAACCAGAAACAGAAAAAAAATCTGTGTTTTCTTTGCTTATTTGCAGGACAATTCATAACTAAGTCAAGCAACCATGGCTAAGCTCGCTTTTCCCACCCCGCTGGCTTCTGAACCACAACTCTCCAATCCTTCACCAGGACAGCCTTTTTGTCTAGTACTAAATAGCAATAGATTTCACTTTTTAAGTAGCTGTGTCGCATGGCCTAGAGGGCTTTAACAACATCCTGGCAACATTGTCAGCAAAATACTCACTGCAGTATGAACATTGTCTATTATTAAATGAGAAACTAGACAAAAATCTGCACAGTTAATGGTTTGGACAACAGAGGAACCCACACTCCAGGGTGGAAGATGATTGGCTGTCGATTGTCATTGAGCCATGGGTCAATGGTTGATTGTCATTGAAACATGTTATCGTGTTGCCGGAAGCCGGCTGAGATAACAGACCAGGGTGAACAACCCACAGTTCACAACGCAACAACAAACTGGGGATTCAGAGAACATGAGAACTCCTATTTCAGCAATTACCCATGGTTCAACAACAATCCACTCCGAACCCATATTCAACCCTGAGTGTGGGTGATGTTGCCTGAAGCCGAGCATCATTTCTGGAATGTTTCTAGGCCCATGCTTTGGCATGCTTTTGTACGAAGGGAGTTGTGCCCTCGTTCTGGAGGTGTTCTTCCCCCGCAGGTAGTTCCTGGTGATGCTCAGGCTGGAGCACACAGGAGGTCCCAAACTCAAAGCCTCGGCCAGATAGCTACTGCCAGTCCGAGCAGGCAAAGCTGGGCTTGATGGACGGAGAGACTCGCCTCGTCCGCGTCCCTGCTTCCATGGCTGAGCCACGGTCCCTCCTCTAGGACAGGTGGCGGCAAAGGTCACAGTGCTGGACTGGCACGAGTCCCGCTTGGTGACCTGGCTGGTTATGCTTCTGACCCGCAGGGTTCTTGTGAGATAACATGGAGAGGAGGAGGACGACTCAGGCGAAGTGGCCTTTAAGTGCAGTCTTGGAAAGAACAGCAGCAAGGAAGCTCAGTGGAGAAGGCGGTCTTTGGTGCGTTCAGGGCCGAGGGCGGTCATCCCAGCTTGGCTTCCTCAGAGATGCTGGAGCATGTGGTAAGTCTTATGAACAGGAAACATCACAGCAAAGAACATTTGTCCTTCCAGCTTGGGGGGGGGGGCAACTTGGAATTGGGAAGGCCTTTTAAAGCCCCCTGATGATATAAGTTTTAAAAAAACCTTTTTCGGTGGTGGTTCCTCTATGTTCATTCTACTGGTTCCTTTTTGGAAAGCAGTGAAAATATTTGCCATCCTTTAAAGTTTTAAGCTACTGGGGTAAGAGCTGGTGTTACCACCTCGTGTTGAATAGTTTTATATGATGGCTTTGCTGCAGCTTCAGTCTTGACTTGAATTTTTGCTGCGTTCACTAATATATTGTTAGCTGCTTTGAGGACTTGTGGGTCAAAGTGTGAAGTATGATTTGGATACATGAATCTACTGGGTAAGTAAATTATAGGAATTCATGAAACCTTGCTTTGTGCAAAACCTGCCACCATCTCCAATGTGGGGACAATAATACTGGCCTACTTTAAAGTAGTGTTGTAAGAATTGCAAGACAAGGGAAAAGTAAAAAGCAGCCTTAGCTAGATGGGCCTGTGATTAAAATAGCCGGCTTCTCCTTTCTTTGTTGTATTTAAAGCTGATCCATGTTAACATTGCTGTTTTTATGGTATTTAGAAACATAGAAACTGAGCAGGTCGGAAGGGGCCTACAGGGCCATCTAGTCTGACCCCCAGCTCTACTCATGACACGCCTCCCATGTGCATGTTCGTAGCATACCTTATTGTATTTTTAATGCATTGGTGTAAAACTGCCCAGATTGCTTTGGCTGTGGGGTGGTATAGAAATGAAATAATAATACAGACATTCACACCCAGCCAAAACATAGGAGTCCTTAGCTCCAGCTGCAAGGTGGCCGCGCGGCCTTTTCTCGCTTCTGGCTGTCACTGCATCCTGGAACGACATGCGTGCCCGCGGGGGTGGGGGCTGAGATGGGGCCCTGCCCCCCGGAGCGAGGTGGGCCTTTCGCCGCACGGTCAGCTGGCCGAGCGTGCCTGGTCGCCGGCTTTTCGGCTTGCTCCCCGCAGCTGCGCCGTTGGGGGTCGTGCCCCAGCACGGAGACCCACACTGGGGACGCCGGCGAGCCGAGCCGAGCCGCGCCGAGCCGCGCCGTCCAGAAGCGGGGGGGGGGGGGGCGAGCTGGCCCTGGCGAGCGGGCCTGCGGGCCGCGGCGGCGTCTTCCTCCCGGCTCGCAGACCCGCTTTGCCCCGCGCGCTGATGCCCAGGAGCCGCAGCGGTTCCCCGGGAAAGCGCCTGCGCTCGAGCCGGCGGCAGCGAGAGGGCCCCGTCCCCGGCGGCGGCGGCGGCGGGGGGCCGGGGCGAGCGCGGCGGGGCGCCCCGTCCCGGTCCCGGTCCCTGGCGGCGGGGCCGCGGAGAAAGTTTTTGACATTCTCTCCAGCAACTCCGGCCACGGCGCGGCCCTATTGGGGGATGCAAATACTCCGTCGCTGCCCCGCAGCCAATGGCGGCCGCGCGGGGGCGGGGCTTCCCATTGACAGAATAGGCGCCTCGGTGTTTACTCCGCGCGCGCGGCGACGTGTGCAGCCCGGGCTGCGCGGGAGGGAGGGGCGCGCGCGCCTGCGGGGGGAGGCGGGGGCCGCCAGCCGCGCGGACGGGCTATAAGAGGCGGCGGCGGCGGCGGCGGGGCGAGCGCGGGCGAGCGCGGGGCGGCGTGAGCTCCTCGGCGGGGCGAGCGGCGAGCGCAGGGCGAGCA